TCTTTGCTGATGAAAAGGATGTCGATCGAATTGAAAAAGAAACCATGGGCCAATCAGTAAATGAAAACTGGAATCTGCATCGAAAAATAAGAATAACTGCATCTAAATGCCATCGAATTGCGACTCTGCAAGCAACTACCTCCCCTACAAAGGCCATTAGTGAAGTCTTACATTACAAGCAGATCCCTCAAACAATTCATATCAATGAGGGCTTCTCAAGAGAAGGTACTTTTATTGCAGAATACATCAACCTCGTCATAAGAAAAACGATCAGATTGTAATCCCCATTTTTCATAATAGGAATTCTTGTAACGAAGGCACAACCATTTGACCAGAGCAGTCAAGTGCATGCCTTAAGCTACTCACTTAGGTCAATTACTCTGATGACTGGTTGAAGCAAAAACAAAAGTTACTCCATAATAAAGCAGCCCTCATTACGTCACTGACATGGATGAAGAGTTGTGACATTGATTTCCTTTTCATCTGCAAATAATCTAACCAGCATAATGTGTCACCATTTTTCCTACACCTCCATAGGGATTATTCAGATATATAAGAAACTACTGAAGAACTAATATCCTGTTGTGACGCAGTGCATACAATTCTATAGCAAGAAATACTAACTCTTGGAAATTCATCTTCAAAAGGTATCTTCATATTCCTAACTAAGTTTTTCCTTAATTTACCAAAAGGTTTTTTGATCGGTGAACTACGCTGCAGGGATGAGTCGAAGGTTTCACCTCAAAGTCAAAGTCACGGGAAAGACCATTTCAGTTGAGTTCGGGGATAGCTCCTACTCACACATTTCTCGAAGGCGTTCACGGTTCTAAGAATACCATTAATAAGGCATTGGCTGCACTTGGAAAAAATTGGAACTTTTCTGAGAAAATAAACCACAAAAAAGCGAAACTGCAATCGAGAAGTAAAACTTTTTAGTCACATGAGTTGCGTCGCACTTGACACGTTGAGAACTGAAGTAGACCAGAAACTACCATGCTTATTACAGCGCGTAAGAAAAAGATACCGCGATCATATGCTGGTAGAATTTAAGTTGATAGTCGTTGCAGAGAGTTGCCATAATTTGCGAAAAATACATCAAATTGCGAGGGATTCTAAAATTGACGGCCAACCATATCGGAAGCGCGATATCAAATTGATCGTATTTCAAATCGACAAAGTTTCACGGACAAATGTTGACAGTTACTGGCGTGATTTCTTTTGTTTAACTCGATTTTTTGAAAAACTACCCAAGCACTACATTGCTTTCGAAGTTCTCGCTGATTGATTCATTTGGAAAAGTTAGGGGCGTTGCAATTGGAAAAGTCCCTCGACGACAGATTTTAATAGCAAAGTAAACGCATTTGAGAAAACTTTTCCAAAGTGCGACTCGTGCCTATATAATCCATCAGGTACATATGAAGGCACTAAGATAAGCGATTTCATACAAATTTATTCATTGACGAGCTCGTTATATAGCTGAGAAACATTTCACCTATGGTTTAAAACCTGCAAAGGATCTCATAAGATACGTTAATTAACTTGAAAGGAAATTGTTAAACAGCTGGGAAAGATCACAGGCAACTTTAGCTTACGCTTGCTCGTGTGGAAATGATCACTGAGGTAAGGGTTACTCGAGCGAACAAAGGTTACGGCAAGAGAAGAAGTTGAACAGAGATTGGTAGTTGTGAACTCCGCTTAGAGTTCTCTG